CCCCAAAACCCCAAAACCCCAAAACCCCAAAACCCCAAAAGTAACTACAAATTTGAATTTAAAATAATTACTTGGTTTTCAGTCTGAGTCTTAAATTGCGAACAAACTTATGAAGCACTGGCTCATAGATATGTAGGAATTCAGAAAGAGACTCAAGATCCATCTGAGTCTTTTCTTTGCCATAATCCAGCACCTCGGCATCACTAGAATAATCATCATCCCTGATCCTATGAACATGATGTTCAGACAGATATTTAGAATCAAAGCCTAGATCATTGTCTGTAAAAACTCTGAACCTCCTTCTCCTGAGTCTACCCAAGTTGCTATTTCAAGTAAATATATTTCTCCTTGACTAATCTTGATGCATTTCTTTTAGTCTTGGTACAAGTGAAGTATTTCTCGATGGGAATATAAAGACCAGTCACTGGGTCAAGATTTTTGAGATTTTCTAGTGGTTTTAGAACGATCTCTTCAGTGAAGTTTGAAGGTCTATTTCTATAAAATAAATCTTAGGTCTCCTTAGTATCACTTTAACTACAAGGAGATTTAGGAAAGTTTTATAGGAAGAAAGAGCCCACAAGGCTGTAAATATTCTCAAAGTTCTTATCTCTTTGATATTTTTCACTTTTAAATTTTAGGTTTTTCATACTGAAAGTTGACTTACTTGGCCAGAGAGAAAATACTCTCAGTATTAGTCCCCAAGGAAGTAGCTGCAGATGATTTTAAGAGCAAGTGTCGGAATGAATCCTCATTACTGAAATCTCCTACATTCTTCTGACTAAATACCACTTCACTCTGCGACCCTCCCAAGTCATCTTCCAAAGCCTGGTGCCTCACAGCATGGGCAACTCTACTCAAAACCCATCCATCCTGGACTACACCTCCTACCGGCCTTCCTCAAGCACCTTCATCCCCCAGTGTCCCACTACTTCCGCCTTTACCTCGACTAGTGGTCTTACACCAAGTGTCTCTACTAATCCCGCTCTCTGTGGTCTTCATTGACTAAATAATTTATGATTTCAACCGACTTCACAACAAATGGGGTTTTGGGGTTTTGGGGTTTTGGGGTTTTGGGGTTTTGGGGTTTTGGGG